AAACAACTAATTCTATTTAGGATCTGTGTTCTGGTTATATTACAAAAATTAAACAACTAATTCTATTTAGGATCTGTGTTCTGGTTATATTACAAAAATTAAACAACTAATTCTATTTAGGATCTGTGTTCTGGTTATATTACAAAAATTAAACAACTAATTCTATTTAGGATCTGTGTTCTGATTTTGTTAAAACATTAAACATGTTCTTCTATTTAAGATCTGTGTACAGGTTATGATACAAACATTAAACAATTAATTCTATTAAAAATCTGTGTTCTGGTTATGTTACAAATTTTAAACAAGTACTTCTATTTGAGATCTGTGTTCTGGTTATGTTACAAACATTAAACAACTAATTCTATTGAAGATCTTTGTACTGGTTATGTTAAAACATTAAACATGTTCTTCTATTTAAGATCTGTGTCCAGGTTTTGTTACAAACATTAAACAAATATTCTATTAATGATCTGTGTTCTGGTTATGTTACAAACATTAAACAACCAATTATATTAATGATCTGTGTTCAGGTTATGTTACAAACATTAAACAATTAATTCTATTAAAGATCTGTGTTCTGGTTATGTTACAAACATTAAACAACTAATTCTATTTAACATCTGAGTTCTGGTTATGTTAAAACATTACTACAACTACTTCTATTTAAGATCCGTGTTCTGGTTATGTTACAAACATTAAACAATTAATTCTATTAAAGATCTGTGTTCTGGTTATGTTTAAACCATAAACATGTTCTTCTATTTAAGATCTGCATTGATGTTATTTTACTAATATTAAACAACTGCTTCTATTTAAGATCTGTATTCTGGTTATATTACAAACATTAAACAACTATTTGTATTTAAGATCTGTGTTCTGGTTATGTTAAAACATTAAACAATTAATTCTATTTAAGATCCGTGTTGTGGTTATGTTACAAAATTAAACAACTAATTCAATTTAAGATCTGTGTTCTGGTTATGTTAAAACATTAAACATGTTCTTCTATTTAAGATCTGTGTACAGATTATGTTACAAACATTAAATAACCAATTCTATCAAAGATCTGTGTTCTAGTTAGGTTACAAACATTAAACAACTACTTCTATTGAAGGTCTGTGTTCTGGTTATATTACAAACATTAAACAACTACTTCATTTTAATATCCGTGTTCTGGTTATGTTACAAAATATTAAACAAATGCGTCTATTTAAGATCCGTGTTCATGTTATGTTACAAACATTAAACAAATGTTTTTTTAAGATCTTGTTCTGGTTATGTTAAAACATTAAACATGTTCTTCTATTTCAGATCTGTGTTCTGGTTATGTTACAAATATTAAACAACTCCTTCTATTTGAGATCTGTGTTCTGGTTATGTTACAAACATTAAACAACTGCTTCTATTTAAGATTCGTGTTCTGGTTATGTTACAAACATTAAACATGTTCTTCTAATTAAAATCTGTGTTCTGGTTATGTTTCAAAGATTAAACAACTAATTCTATTTAAGATCTCTGTTCTGGTTATGTTAAATCATCAAACATGTTCTTCTGTTTAAGATCTGTGTCCAGGTTATTTTACAAACAATAAACAACTAATTCTATTTAATATCCGTGTTCTGGTTATGTTACAAAATATTAAACAAATGCGTGTACTTAAGATCCGTGTTCATGTTATGTTACAAATATTAAACAACTACTTCTATTTAGGATCTGTGTTCTGGTTATTTTAAAACAAATAAACAACTAATTCTATTTAAGATCCGTGTTGTGGTTATGTTACAAACATTAAACAACCAATTCTATTAATGATCTGTGTTCTGGTTATGTTACAAACATTAAACAATTAATTCTATTAAAGATCTGTGTTCTGGTTATGTTACAAAAATTAAACAACTACTTCTATTTGAGATCTGTTTTCTGGTTATGTTACAAACATTAAACAACTAATTCTATTTAAGATCTGTGTTCTGGTTATGTTAAAACATTAAACAACTACTTCTATTTAAGATCCGTGTTCTGGTTATGTTACAAACATTAAACAATTAATTCTATTAAAGATTAGTGTTCTGGTTATGTTACAAATATTAAACAACTACTTCTATTTGAGATCTGTGTTCTTGTTATGTTACAAACATTAAACAACTAATTCTGTTTAAGATCAGTGTTCTGGTTATGTTAAAACATTAAACAACTAATTCTATTAATGATCTGTGTTCTGGTTACGTTACAAACATTAAACAACGAATTCTATTTAAGATCTGTGTTGTGGTTATGTTAAAACCATAAACATGTTCTTCTATTTAAAATCTGTGTTCTGGTTATGTTAAAACATTAAAAAACTACTTCTATTTAAGATCTGTGTTCTGGTTATGTTACAAACATTAAACAACTAGTTCTTTTTAAGATTTGTGTTCTGGTTTTGTTACAAACATTAAACAAATGCTTGTATTTAAGATCTGTTTTGTGACAAACAATAAACAAATGCTTCTATTTAAGATCTGTGTTCTGGTTATGTTACAAACATTAAACAAATGCTTGTATTTAAGATCTGTGTTCCAGTTATGTTACAAACATTAAACAACTACTTTTATTTAAGATCTGTGTTCTGGTTTTGTGACAAACAATAATCAAATGCCTCTATTTAAGATCTGTGTTCTGGTTATGTTACAAACATTAAAATAAATGCTTGTATTTAAGATCTGTGTTCCGGTTATGTTACAAACATTAAACAACTACTTATATTTAAGATCTGTGTTGTGGTATTGTTACAAACAATAAACAACTACTTCTATTTAAAATATGTGTTTTGGTTATACTACAAACATTAAACAACTACTTCTATTTAAGATCTGTGTTCTGGTTTTGTGACATACAATAATTAAATGCTTCTATTTAAGATCTGTGTTCTGGTTATGTTACAAACATTAAACAAATGCTTCTATTTAAGATCTGTGTTCTGGTTATGTTACAAACATTAAACAACTACTTCTATTTACGATCTGTGTTCTGGTTATGTTACAAACATTAAACAACTACTTATATTTAAGATCCGTGATCTGGTTATGTTACAAATATTAAACAACTACTTCTATTTAAGATCAGTGTTCTGGTTAAGTTACAAACATTAAACAGCTACTTCTATTTAAAAACCGTGTTCTGGTTATATTACAAACATTAAACAACTGCTTCCATTTACGATCTGGATCATCTGAACATTCTTTAAAGTTAATTTTTAGTTGTATCCGAGAAAGAGAAAATTGTTGAAACATAATATAAGTAAAATAATCAAGATCAACCAGAGAGTGTGTCTACCCTCGCCCTGCTGCTCTCTTTGAAGATTGCATGTGGTTATATAGGACAGCATCAAATTTCACTATTGAAAACTCAGAAAATCCTTTTCAGATCCAAAATGATCAATGATCTAGATAATTTTTTTGTAGTGCAGTGAGGTGTCTCAACCTTAGTATGCCCATGAAAATTGTTACAAATCTGATCACACATTTATTAACTCAAAACTGCGAAAATTCCCTATCTTCCCATTATATAAAGTGATCCAGAATCCGGATCCAGACCAATCTTGGGGAGGACCATCCCATACTGATTTTCCATCTAATGTAAAACTTGTGTGTACATCTGCCTATTAGTTTTCAAGATATGTGTACAGAAACACAGACAGGGGACAAGGATAACAAGTAGTTTTATTAATACTAGCAGTAAGTGATACATTTAACATTGACTTACATACCTATATCTTTACTATGTCTTGGTGTTCCTTACCTGATAATATCATATGGGTGCAGTTTCAAGTTTATTAGTAATACCTTATAACTGATGGGGGGGGGGGAAGAGTAAATTATCCTGACTTCTGTGCTTCTTGAACTAAAATTGTGGTATGCTTAAACAAATCTACTAACCACAAATAAAAACGATAGTTGTAATAGTTACAAACAGTTACTTACTTTACAATGAAAACTTTTACTCAGATAGAGTTATGAGCTGAAACTAGTTTGTGGATTATTTTCAATTAAAAATTTTTGATGAAATATTTATAAGTGATAATGAAGGTTATAACCTTAAATATTTAAATGATTTCATTACCAGCTAATAAACTTCAACAAAAAACCACTTGCTAGTTTTATATCAAACTTTACAAGATCTTCTCTCGAGACTAAAACTTAAAAACACGAACTATAATTTTGTTCTGTTACAAACTGAACACTTTCATAAATACACTCAGTAAATTATATATTGAGAAGTAATTCTTGGTTTCCAACTAGTAAGAAGCTCTAGCTTGCTAATAGACAAACTTACATGTAACTCATATATCTAAAATAAATCATGTTTTTTACAGCTCCTTTCCTTACAGTGCAGGTTCTTTATAAAACAATGAAATATTGAAAAATTATTCAACCTTAACACAGAAAGAAGTTCTAGGATAATGTTTAAGAATGGTTGGATTTCAGTAAGTACACACAGCACTATGGTAGTTTTCAGTAAGTACACACAGCACTATGGTAGTTTTCAGTAAGTACACACAGCACTATGGTAGTTTTCAGTAAGTACACACAGCACTATGGTAGTTCTCAGTAAGTACACATAGCACTATGGTAATTTTGTCTTTCTATTAAAATGAACTACATAAACCAGCATAATAAAAATTGAAAATTAACATTCTAGTATGCACAAACGGCACAAGTTGAAAGTGTTCTGAATTGTTCGTAATATTTCTCAACCCAAACCACAGATACTCACACAGTAACACACAACAAAACTTTTACTTTAATAATTACAACACACTGAAGTGTTTCCCAGTCTTATATCAAACAGTTTCCACTTGAGATGAGATAAAAAGAGTGTTTCAACACAGAACTACAAGGAGTTGTCCAAATCTCGAGGAAGAATTCCCAAAGCCTGCAGACAAACAGTAGCTGTTACAGCTTTTGCTTGTTTTTTACTTGGGCTAGAAACAGCAGGCTGGTACTCTATACCATTCACTCGAACCTGTGAACGAAGGATAACACATTTAATGTTGATGTGTACGTATAAAGCAAAGTTGTCTATCTGTGTGTTAACACAAATAATGTGAACATCTATCTACCTATAGAGCAAAGTTGTCCAACTGTCTATCTGTGTGTTAACACAAGTTGTAAGGAACTGGCTGATAACACAAATAATGTGAAAATCTATCTACATATAGAGCAAAGTTGTCCAACTGTTTATCTGTGTGTTAACACAAGTTGTGAAGAACTGGCTGATAACACAAAAAATGTGAACATCTATCTACCTAAACAGCATAGTTGTCCAAGGTGCCACAAGTTTTAAGGAACTGGCTGATAACATAACACAGGACTGCAAAGTTAAACTTCATAAAAGTTGTTTTGGTTTTAATAACAGATTTTACATAATTCAGCTATGCAGATTTCAAAAATAATATATAATTTTTTATCACATAAGGATTTTTTACAAATCGGGAAGAAAACAAAACTCTTAGTTAGATCAAATTATTATTTTTGTTTACCACAATGAACATTTTTTATTATTGCATTTGTTAACAAAAATACAAACAAACTGAAGAAAAGGAAAAAACACTGATGTGAAACGAATATGCATCCTCATTCACCTTGATTTCTTTGTGAAATCTACGTCTTTTAGTCACAAAACTACATGTTGTGGTCTTTCTTTTATGTATTGCGTCTGGAGCATCTCGTTTCAATGACCAGCAGTAATCAGCCATCATGCTGATGTTCCACTTTCCCTGATACCTCCTCTCTATTTCCCTGATGTCTTAATGAAACCTTTCCCCTTGTTCTTTGCTGAAGGCACCGAGATTTTCAGAGAAATAGTCAATATGTGAGTGTAAGAAATGAATTTCCAAGCTCATATTACAATCCAATTATTGGAATTTATCAAGCATGATATTGACAATATTTTCATAATTTGGATCCTTGTTGTTTCCTAAAACTTTGTCAATAACATCTTTAATGGCAAGCCATGCTTCTTTTTCAACTTTCCTCATTGTCCTTTTGAACTGTTCATCCGAAGTCAATTTCTTAATCTGAGGCCTAACAAAAATACATTCTTTAAATTTTGCTTCTGGAAGAGCTGGGAATTGCCCATATGGATACTTGAAACAGTCGCCATCTTTGTCTAAGGCCTTTACAAACTGCTTCATCAAGCCCAATTTTATGTGAAGTGGAGGTAATAGGACTTTCATTGTGTCAACCAAACTTTCACATTCAATGTTTTTCGATCCTGGTATCAGGCTGACTCTTCATGGCCATTCATTCTTTATCCAGTGCTAACCTTTCCCCTCTACGCAACCACAGCAATGGGAACGGGCTTGGAAAAATCAAGTATAACCGGATTGTTGACCCAACAACACACAAAGGACTTTTAAGTCTCCACAAAGTAGCCAACCATGTTCTTTGTATTTGACCTTATTAAGAAGTTCGAGACTTTTGTACGTTTCTTTCAAGTGACCCAAATGAGCAATAGGAACAGATGTATATATGTTACCATGGTGAAGGAGAACATCTTTTAGACTTCTTTTGGAGAAATCAATGAACAATCGCCACTCACTTGGTTCATAGACTGCAGTTCCTAGCATTGGTATTAATTCAGCAATATTGTTACAATAAACCAGTGAACCTTCTTGCAGTAAGTATGGTATTAACTCTTTCTCATGATTTCTGTACCATTAAAATGATGTCCCTGGAGAAAGTAAGCTCTTAGCCTGAAGTCTGGACCCCAAGATCTCTGAAGAATCCTTTGGAAGGTTCAAATCTCTCATCAAATCATTAACTTCTTCTTTTGTGAAAAGTTGTGGTTCAACATACGTTTCAGGTTGAAAACAATCCCTATCATCATTTCTATTGATTGGAGTAGGTACAGGTAAATCAGGTCCATGAGCCATAGATTGAAGGTTCAGATAAGAAATTTCCTTTGTATTTCAAGTTTTGTAGCCTTGCACGTTACATGAGCAAAAACAGCAGTCATCTCCGTGGTTTCTTGGCTCACACCAGACCATTGGAATCTCAAAAGACAAAGATTTTTTTTTACCTGTAGTCAATTTTCTCAATTCCTCGACACAAATGGAGCAAACTTTGTGCAGAGCCCAAGATTTGTCTTGGGCCCCAAGTTTCATTCAAAAATATGCTTAATACGATTTTTGAATGAATTATGTAATGTTTTTCCTTTGTTTCTTTACAGAATGTTTAAGTATTTACACAATCTCTTGTTGCCCTAGCAATGAATAAATAATATTGAAGAGAGAGAAAAATAATGTCAAAGTGCGCACACACACACAAACAAATACTATCCAGAAATGACATCGTGCGGCCTGTTAACTGTTAATATACTAGTGGTGTGTTTCTTGTGGTTCTAGAATGATTGATAAGACTCTCACTTCACGATTGGTCTAGAGAAATCTATAGCCAGTGGTTGTCAACATTGTAAGCATAATAAAATGTGACCCAATTTCAGTGAAAATTATTCACTAATGTAAAAGTGCATGTGTGAAAAATCTATACACGATGAAGAAAAATGGATATCATTTTCGGACTCAACATACAGGAATTACAATAAAACCATCGGTGGCCTGTGTAATTTATGTGAACATCTATCTGTCTATAAAGTTGCCCAACTGTCTATCTGTGTGTTACTACAAGTTGTGAGGAATTGTTTCATAACACAATTAATGTGAAAGTCTATCTATCTATGTATAAAGTAAAGTTGTCCAACTGTCTATATGTCTGTTACATCAAGTTGTGAAGAACTGGCTGATAAGAGAATTAATGTGAAAGTCTATCTATCTATGTATAAAGTTGTCAAACTGTCTATCTATCTGTTACATCAAGTTGTGAAGAACTGGCTGATAACAGAATTAATGTGAAAGTCTATCTATCTATGTATAAAGTAAAGTTGTCCAACTGTCTATCATGTCTGTCATATCAAGTTGTGAAGAACTGGCTGATAAGAGAATTAATGTGAAAGTCTATCTATCTATGTATAAAGTTGTCAAAGTGTCTATCTATCTGTTACATCAAGTTGTGAAGAACTGGCTGATAACACAACTAATGTCAACATCTATCTATTCTTACTTTAAACAGAAATGTCTTTTTGTGGGAAGGTCCATTTTCATCAACTAGACTGAACTGAGGAGGATCCCAACGTCTCTTTGTACAAAGTTCCATTATGGCTGATACAGGATGTTTACCTAAAATAAATAAAATTCTGTCACATAATTATATTTTCAAGTTCATTTACTCTACTTGTTCAGGATGGGCTGAAGCCAATAACATATATATATACCTAACTAGAAAGAAGCAAAAGATTTATTTCAGCTTAATGCCATATATTTGTTACCCGAGACAAAATTTACTGTTCTATTAAAAAAAAAAAGCAATAAATAATCGTTGAACCAACATCTCAGCAGGGTAATAACTGATATCCTTAAAAGCTAAAGCACTCTTTAAGTTACATCATGTAAACTAGTTTTTAACATCAATTGTATAATCCACTACAGAGCATGAATCAAAGACCCAAAATAACTAAGACGGCCCACTTCCTTTCTTACAGTTACTATGCCATCTATTTAACTACACCCTTTATGAATGATTAGGAGTTTATAGCTTATGATTAAAAATGTATTTTTCTTTTTCTTCTATTTGATATGAGATCACACAGACCGAAAAATAAGCTAATATTTACGTCATGTTAATTCATACGTGAGGCCACATTAATGGTAAGAATTTTAAGAAGTTTGTGAGTCGTAATATGAGTCACCATAATATGATGTTCATAGTTTTGCTCAGAGCTACATGAGGGCTTTCTTAGCAGTTATAGACAAGATGGAGGGCAGCTAATCAACATCACCCATCGCCAACTCTAGGGCTACTCTTTTACTAATGAATAGTGAAATGGACTGTCACATTATAACTCCCCCATGGCTGAAAGAGTGAGTGTTTTTGGTGACGGGGATAGTAATGTGCAACCCACAGTGTGTGAGCTGAGTGCCCAAACCACCAGGCCATGAATACGATAACAATTGAACATAATACGGGAAGAGATGCTATATCGAAGCACTTTAATTATTTGCAGTAAACACACTTTAGACACATATCAAGTATTATTCCATTTTAGAATGAATATTTTTATTGAAGATTATGAAATAGGCCTACATATCAGCATCCTTATCAACCATAAAAATAAACCATTAAAATGTATGGAAACCAACAAATAATTGAATGTAAACATTTTTGATAAATGGGATAAACTGCAAAGTAAAGTATTTAACATGATACAAAGTTTATAATTTCCATGCATAGTATACTTTTACAGGAAAGCTTTCATATTTTAGGGAGGGATGATAACAAAAAATTATGGAGTTTACAGAGGGATGATAACTGTAAAAATATGGAGTTTAGAGAGGGATGATAACTGTAAAAATATGGAGTTTAGGGAGGGATGATAACTGTAAAAATATGGAGTTTAGAGAGGGATGATAACTGTAAAAATATGGAGTTTAGGGAGGGATGATAACTGTAAAAATATGGAGTTTAGGGAGGGATGATAACTGTAAAAATATGGAGTTTAGGGAGGGATGATAACTGTAAAACTAGTGAGTATTGAGAGTTTGTTTGTTTGTTGAATATTGCTCAAAGTTACTCAAGGTTTATCTGCACTAACCATCTTTAGTTTAGACTAGAGGGAAGGCAGCTAGTCAACATCACAACCCACTGCACTGACCATCTCTAGTTTAGACTAGAGGGAAGGCAGCTAGTCAACATCATAACTCACTGCACTAACCATCTCTAGTTTAGACTAGAGGGAAGGCAGCTAGTCAACATCATAACTCACTGCACTAACCATCTCTAGTTTAGACTAGAGGGAAGGCAGCTAGTCAACATCACCAACTCTTAGGTTACTCTTTATCAACAAATAGTAGGATTGATTGTCACATTATAATGCCCCCACAGCTGAAAGGTAGAGGATATTCAGTGATGGGATTCAAACCAGTGAACTAAAGATTGTGAGTCGAGTGCCCTAACCACCAGGCCATGCCAGATGAATATTGAGAGAGAAGATAACAACAAATATTTCATACCAGTTGAGCCCCAAAAATATATAGAATTTATAGGAATTTTTAAGAGGAATATTTAATAGGATTTCTATAAAATAATGCTTGGCTTGAAGTTTTGTAGCTGCAACTTATCTTTTCAAAGTAACTGCCACTGAGCATTTAATTTTTAGCTGGAAAGTAAAATAACACAACACTTGATCAGTAAAACCATTGATGTCCTGTGGTGAGCTCAACATACTAATGTTTCTAAAACTAGTTCAGCTGCTTGACCATGTGGAAATGTGACGTCACTGCCTAGATGGGTAGTTCCATGTAGCTCACATCTTCAAAATAGCAAAGGTAAGGTAGTGGAGAAAAACGGATAATTTTCTCAACATATAATACTGACTGTCAAGTATAATTGGTATAGTTTTATTTTTGAAGAAAACGATTTTATATATTTGATATAATACTTACTAATCAATTCATACACATACAATAAAACATGTAAAATAAAACTACTTAAATGTATACGAAAAGGCCTTACCTGAAAAGTCTTTAGCAATAGCAGTAAAAATTGGCTTTTTTTTCATCTCACTTCCTGCCACTAGCCCTGTAAGTATAAAAAACACAAGATTATCAGTAAATATTTTAAATTTCATTTATTCAACATTACATAGCTAGTACAAAAGTCTAAGTCAGAGAATGAATCTTTCATAAAGGTTATTGTCTTTCGAGTCATATGGTGAGCATGAAGACATAGTGAAGTTATCATTTTACAAAACTTTCAGTGCCAATTGAAGAAGACGTGAGATAAATATTTAGTTATTCTACCCGCACTTTCCTTTATAGATCTATGAATGTCACAGGTTACAAGTATGAAGACATAGTGAAGTTATCATTTTACAAAACTTTCAGTGCCAATTGAAGAAGACGTGAGATAAATATTTATTTATTCTATCCGACACTTTCCTTTATAGATCTATGAATGTCACAGGTTACAAGTATGAAGACATAGTGAAGTTATCATTTTACAAAACTTTCAGTGCCGATTGAAGAAGACGTGATATAAATATTTATTTATTCTACCCGACACTTTCCTTTATAGATCTATGAATGTCACAGGTTACAAGTATGAAGTCATAGTGCAGTTATCATTTTACAAAACTTTCAGTGCCGATTGAAGAAGACGTGAGATAAATATTTATTTATTCTACCCGACACTTTCCTTTATAGATCTATGAATGTCACAGGTTACATAATTGATTTCAAATTATAGTAATCGAACAGAATATAAAACTACAATATAATAGAAGGGTGCACAGAGAAGAGTATTAAAAGTATTGTTAAATGGATTAGAGTCGCAGATCATAAAAGTAAATGTTATAAAAAACTAACAGTATCATAGGGGCTAGGCATTATATCTGTTAATGGAAGGTCCTTTGGATTAAATCAAAAGAGATTCTTTAAGTTTTCCATCATGAAAGCTATCACAAATCCGAAAAATTTGATCCGATAAGGTGTTTCGTAAATTATGTTGATGTAATGTTCAACGGTGGCTTTTTTGTTGTCAAGATTTAGAGTGGCACAAATGTGTTCTTTGAAATCATCATGATTGGATGACTGGATTCACCTATGTATGTGGCTGAACACTGTGTATATGTAATTTCATAGACGGTGCTCTTAAGTGTTCAGGATTTCTCTAAGCTACTGGTGTTAGTACTATTTATGTGATCTATCTGACTTTTGTATGGAGCTTGAATTCTTACACAATAGCTGAATGCCTTGATAAGATATTCCAGGGAAACACATAAGCTGAGTAAGATACAGGAGGGGGAAACTAAATTTATTAAGTTAATTTCTAAGTTTCTCTTTCGGGGTTTAAGATTTTTGACCCTGAAATGTCAAAGAATGTTTGAAAATATGTAACGAAAGTTACTTGAAGAGAAGAAGTGAGAAGGACATTCTCAAGCTGACTCCTTGATTATAATAAAAAACAACAACTTCAAAACATAAAACTTGAAATTCTTCAAATTAAACTGTATGATCAGTTTAATAAGCTTGAACAAGATAAGGATTATTCTAAAAATGTAAATCAGGTAACTATTTGCAATCTTTCTCAATGTAAGTTAACAGCAGAAGAACAAAAAGTTTTATAGATGGGGTAGGAACTGGCTATTTCACCAAAAGTCACACCCCATTAATTTAAAATGTGAATTGGAGAATTTGGTTAAGCAGATTATTAAAGAGGTCAGGAGACTAAGAAGAGTATTAAAGCGGTCAGGAAACTAAGAAGAGAATTAAAGAGGTCACGAGACTAAGAAGAGTATTAAAGAGGACACGAGACTAAGAAGAGTATTAAAAAGGACACGAGACTAAGAAGAGTATTAAAGAGGTCACGAGACTAAGAAGAGTATTAAAAAGGACACGAGACTAAGAAGATTATTAAAGAGGTCATGAAACTAAGAAGATTATTAAAGAGGTAATGAGACTGGGTGGTAAAAATGAAGATGATTCATTCAACAAACAAAATATCTTTAGTAACAAGATAAAAGTTAAATCTGTCCAGATAAGAGCAAAAACTAAAGATGTTGAGAAATATTGAATATATCATTTTACTAAAAGCAGATAAATGAAGTGTTGTTGTAGTTTAGATAAAACTGAATATGTTAGTCAGATAGAATTAATAATAAATGATTCATTGCATTATCTAGGACTAGAGAGAAATCTATCAAAGTCCACAGAAATCTTCAGATTAACTTGTTATTGAAAATTTAAAAATCATGTGAATTAAAAGATAAACTTTTTTAAAGTTAAATAATATGGTTTTTTCTAAAGTCCAAAAAGGATGATGTCCTCTTACATATATCGTATTAGCTTTCAATTATTATTATAATATAGTTAAGTTTCTAGATCAGTGTTTCTCCATACATTTCAAAACCTGCATCTTTTACAAAATATTTTGCAGGTTTTGTAATCAAACTTAAGCTTTTTCGCCTTGATGCTTATGTGATTTGTTCTAATCTTAGTTCCTCTTCAAACAGGTTCCCATTCTTATTGCTTTGGACTGTATAAAAAATGATGCCAGACCTAGGTTTCATTTTGAAATTTTAAGTTTTCAGGAACTTTTCACTTTTAGTATGACTCATACTAGGTTTCAGTTTAATGAGAGAAATTTTTATCAGAAAAATGTAATCCACTGGCACTTGTTTAATTAATTTAAAATCAAAATTAGAAACTTCCTTATATCCTTCCTCTCTATCGGTTTAGATATGTAGACAATATTATCTTGTTTAATTAATTTAAAATCAAAATTAGAAACTTCCTTATATCCTTCCTCTCTATCGCTTTAGATATGTAGACAATATTATCTTGTTTAATTAATTTAAAATCAAAACTAGAAACTTCCTGATATCCTTCCTTTCTATTGGTTCAGATATGTAGACAATATTATCTTGTTTAATTAATTTAAAATCAAAACTAGAAACTTCCTGATATCCTTCAAGTGAATGTCAACCTACAGTAGTAACAGTGCAGGAGTTGTGTGTCCTTCAAGTGAATGTCAGCCTACAGTAGTAACAGTGAAGGAGTTGTGTGTCCTTCAAGTGAATGTCAACCTACAGTAGTAACAGTGCAGGAGTTGTGTGTCCTTCAAGTGAATGTCAGCCTACAGTAGTAACAGTGAAGGAGTTGTGTGTCCTTCAAGTGAATGTCAACATACAGTAGTAACAGTGAAGGAGTTGTGTGTCTTTCAAGGGAATGTCAACCTACAGTATTAACAGTGAAGGAGTTGTAGGTCCTTCAAGTGAATGTCAACATACAGTAGTAACAGTGAAGGAGTTGTGTGTCTTTCAAGGGAATGTCAACCTACAGTAGTAACAGTGAAGGAGTTGTGTGTCTTTCAAGGGAATGTCAACCTACAGTGGTAACAGTGAAGGAGTTGTGTGTCTTTCAAGGGAATGTCAACCTACAGTATTAACAGTGAAGGAGTTTTGTGTCCTTCAAGGGAATGTCAACCTACAGTGGTAACAGTGAAGGTGTTTTGTGTCCTTCAAGTGAATGTCTACCTACAGTGGTAACAGTGAAAGAGTTGTGCGTCCTTCAAGTGAATGTCTACCTACAGTAGTAACTGTGAAGGAGTTGTGTAACAGCATGTTTATTAATCCTGAGTGATAAGAATGTTGGCTGAAAAGTCTTGATTTGGATCAATTGAGCAAATGGTTATTGATTTTGTGATTCTTAAAAAACACAAGTTCCTAGATTATGGGACTACATGAGTCAGAGGTAGTCTGTTATAAGGTACTAGAGCATGTGAAAATTTGAAATGGTGATACATGTATCTGATAACATACAAATAAATATGTATGTGTGTGATCTTTCGCATGCGTATTAACATTACTTAAAGTTATTCATCAATGATGAATAACACAAGTGAATCAATTTCAAAATGTACCAGTAATTTTGTTCTTACTGCATATAGAAGTATCTTTAAACTTTTTCTGTTGATTTAAATAAAATTAGATGTGACTAACCTTTTTTATCAGTCTTAACATTTAATAATAAAGGCTCCAATGAGCCTTCCTTGTTTTTCCCAAGCCCTTCTCCAGGATTCCAGCCCATCTTTTTAAGAAGGTGCATTCCAATCCCTTCTTTCACAGGAGTTGCTTTAGATAACTGGTCCTGCAGGATGCACACAGAAACACTAACTTTCACATAAACAAAAACAGATGGGTGTTGGCCACATGAAAACTTACCTTAGAAAATGTGTACTTTAAGTAATAATTCTAAAAAATGCTCTTATTCATAATTAGTAGTGACCTACAATTATAAATGTATTATTTAGATATTTGAATCCAATGCAATCAATGTCTTCAAGCTATTTCATATTAAATGAAATTTATAAGAACTATGTACAAAGTTAATAAGAGTCAGACAAGATTTTAATGGTAGAGTTGTACATAAATGAAAGCCTAAAGTGTATGAAATTACCTGAAATACTAAGTTTCACTGAAGAATGAACACCTTACCTGAATTTTATTTTAACTTTTTAAAAAAAATCTTCAACTGTTTATATCGTATAAAAAAAGTACAATAAACCCTTTTGGTAATTTAAATTTACTCCAAGATGTAATACAAACACTAATATAATACATGTAATAGAAACACTATGTAAATGGTGAAAATTTAAAAATAAACCAAATCACAAAACGTGATAAATTTTTAATTAGTTGAATGCTGAAATAATCCTTCAAAACAACTATGTACCATAAACTATAAACATTTCAAAACAACTATGTACCATAAACTATAAACATTTCAAAACAACTATGTACCATAAACTATAAACTTATTAAAACAACTATGTACCATAAACTATAAACATTTCAAAACAACTATGTACCATAAACTATAAACATTTCAAAACAACTATGTAACATAAACTATAAACATTTCAAAACAGCTATGTGTACCATAAACTATAAACATTTCAAAACAACTATGTACCATAAACTATAAACATTTCAAAACAACTATGTACCATAAACTATAAACATTTCAAAACTACTATGTGTACCATAAACTATAAACATTTCAAAACTGCTATGTACCATAAACTATAAACATTTCAAAACTGCTATGTACCATAAACTATAAACATTTCAAAACTACTATGTGTACCATAAACTATAAACATTTCAAAACTACTAAGTACCATTAACTATAAACATATCAAAACAACTATATATCATCAAGTATAAACGTTTCAAAACAACTATGCACCATAAACTATAAACATTTCAAAAAACAAATATGTACTACTAACATCAAACACACTAGAATACCTTAATAAAGCTGTAAACAAACAAAAAACAGTTTTCTTGTTCAGTTACTACTAACACCAAACACTAGAATACCTTAATGAAGCTGTAAACAAACAAAAAACAGTTTCGTTGTTTAGCTACTACTAAAAGCAAAAACACTAGAATATCCCAGTGAAGTTGTAAACAAACAAAATCAGTTTTGTTGTTTAGCTACTACTAACACCAAACACACTAGAATACCTTAGTGAAGTTGTAAACAAAAAACAGTTTTGTTGTTTAGCTACTACTAACACCAAACACACTAGAATACTGTAGTGAAGTTGTAAACAAACAAAATCAGTTTTGTTGTTTAGCTACTACTAACACCAAACACACTAGAATACCTTAGTGAAGTTGTAAACAAAAAACAGTTTTGTTGTTTAGCTACTACTAACACCAAACACAATAGAATACTTTAGTGAAGTTGTAAACAAACAAAATCAGTTTTGTTGTTTAGCTACTACTAACACCAAACACACTAGAATACATCAGTGAAGTTGTAAACAAATAAAAAACAGTTTTGTTGTTTAGCTACTACTAACACCAAACACAATAGAATACCTCAGTGAAGTTGTAAACAAACAAAAACAGTTTCATTGTTTAGCTACTACTAACACCAAACACAATAGAATATCTTAGTGAAGTTGTAAACAAACAAAAAACAGTTTTGTTATTTAGCTACTACTAACACCAAACACACTAGAATACCTTAGTGAAGTTGTAAACAAACAAAAAACAGTTTTGTTATTTAGCTACTACTAAGGTCAAGAGGAAATAACTGAAGCTGTATATCTCAAATGTTGAGAAGAGAAAGTTTATACAATTTAGTCTCACAAACACTGTAACAATGTAGAATAGTTAAAAATTATGTTTTCTTAACAACATTAGTAATTTCAACAATACAGTTTAAAATTTTTTAAATAATAACAATAAATATGAAGAAATTTGGCTACACCTTAAAAGGTAGATACATGTTTTAAACTTTAATATAAAACATGGTATATATACAATTAAAGAAACTTAGAAATTCTTTGCATGATAGGAAATGAGTAGACATAAACAATATAATTTAACATCAAATAAACTTATATGTACCAAGTGCATTGTGAAGAGAAGTACTGTAGAGAGGCAGTCATGCAATACACTGGCGCTCTTACCTATCCTCTTGATGATGTTTCTCGAGGCTTCGCTTTAACCTGTGGCTTAGTGGACAGAAAAGCTTCATCCAAAGTATCCCTGCAATAAGCTCTCACTTTCAGGTGTGTATCAGTGGGTTAATGAAACAATTGTGCTTAGTACCACATGTGAAAAAACTACAGACTGACAATTTTAAACTCTCTTCTCTACATTTATATACCTATATTTATAAAAACTACAAATACAAGAAATACCAAAAATAAAGTGTTGGTAAACTTTTGTATGATATGATGAATTAAGTAGTTTGTTGGTTAAGTTGCTTATTGTAAGATATACAATAAAGAAAACTGAATTGGAATTATTTTTAAAACTGTGATACAAAGAAACTTAAAAAAAATTTTCAATGTACAATTTTCACTGAGGCTTGAGAAGCCACACAGAAGGAAGTGAATCAATAAATTTAATAACCTATTAATGACTTGTTTTATAGGTTAATTTGTCAGACTTGTAAGATGTTTTAATGTATTTCTCCTTGCCTATCATGTTGACTCTTCTGTGATAGATTAAATTATCACCACAGTTTATTTTCATTATTACAAAAATTGTTTTAATTTTGTTGAACATCTCTGAATGAACGAAGATATCACAATGATAATGACATTCAGTTTTGATCTGTAAACTTTGTATCACAATGATAATGACATTCAGTTTTGATCTGTAAACTTTGTATCACAATGATAATGACATTCAGTTTTGATCCGTAAACTTTGTATCACAATGATAATGACATTCAGTTTTGATCTGTAAACTCTCTATCTACAGATTCATTACGATTACTACTCTTCAAGATTAAAAGTGTCTATATTCAGTACATAAATCTTGAGGTGAAAGAGTAAATTCTAAGCTAGTATACCACGTAATACTGAAGAGACCAATCAATGTAAGCAACACGAATCTGTAATATTTAAATGTGGCACTTAGCACATTACAGTAACCCATAAGCAGACACACACAAAGACAAATTAAGGAAAAAAAGATATCTTTCTCAACGTAAGCCTTTCTTGTGAATATGAGGCAGTTAGAAATCTCTTCTTTCATACGTATGTGAGTAGACACTTATGAAATCTGCTCTATCCTGGTGAAATATTCATATAAATGGTACATTTTATTAATGTACTAAATCAAGGAAAACTTGGACATACCTCCAGTCGACACATGGCACACTTGTTGGAACTGCTTTTATTTTTTAAATACAGCATACAACATTTGGAAGATGAATTAATTATTAAGTAGTACAACAACAAATTATAGATGATTAATTTTTCATTCTGAACACAAGATTTGAACCTTATTTTCCAAGAAATAAGAACTTACCTTGAGAAAATCATCTAAAAATAGGAAATAATTCTCAAAATTACTCTACTTACCTGAGAAAAAATCAACAGCTTGAGCTAACCTGCTAATAAGAGCAAAGTCACAGAAAACACATTTTGAAGGATATGGTTTATAACAAATACAATCATGTTGAAATTCATAAGTATGTGATTTTAAATGAATGGTAACTTACGTATTATTCTATACATCTTTTCCACATCAAAACCTAGATAAATTTTTCAAAACCAAATTAAAACAAAAGTATCCCCCTTTTGGAAAGAACTTTTAGAAAACTAAAGTATACTTATGAATATTGTTATTCAATCTTTTTATACTGGGTAACTAATGCAACAGAACAGGTAGCCATTGTAATCTTATTTATCAACTGTCTGATTAGTCATAAAAAATGTCATAACCAGATAGATAAACCTGTTTAGTTATTGCTTTTGAAAACTGTGACAGTTAACATCAAATCTTCAATAATGCAATCTCTAATACTTAGGAGCTTGACTGAATCCTAAAGTCAGGAGATCAATCAAGTCTAAAGTTTTAGACTGGTACTCACTTGATAACAAACCAAGGCTCAACACTGAGCTCTTACAGTTCTGTCAAATTTTACATTTTTCAGAATTAATTTCAAACATGTAATTACAGCAGGCCTTTCCTTGTTTAGTTGGAACTGAGGCTGTCAACAAAACATATAACTAAAAATTCCCTCATTTCCTTTAGACATTGCAGAATTTGTATCACTACCCATAATTCTCTACTTTCCCACCTTCAAAATGAGAGCCAATTCAATAGAAAACCTAGTGATGCATCTATTTTGTTGGGGGAATTTGTTTAGATCAAGACAATTGATCTGCTACTGCAGTCATCACCTGTGGAACATGGCAAGCTAGTAGGGTGATATGATAGGAGTGGTCCTGAGAAAGGAGATCCAAGGTTCGAAAACAAAGAGCCCTGGACCAATTACTCAGAAGTGGCCAAAGGAAGACCACAGGGTGTGACACCATATGGCAAGAACTCCATAGAGGCACACTCATGAGATATTACATCTCATCTCAACTCACCAAGGGTAGATATATTGGTTTATTGGACACAATTAGCATGGATACTTACAACCACAACTCAATCATCAGACACTATGATTCTCTTGCTTGCTGTGGGAGTAGGGTGTTTAAGTGATACATCACAGCGATACAACTACTCTACCATTAGATACAGGGGGTCCAGGCCTCTGCAGGAGTAGGAAGAATGACAAAGACAGAAAGATGTATGAGTGTGAGATAGTGATATGTGCCAAATTTC